TCACATGTCCACTATTATCTAAATAGCTTATTTACAATTGACATTTGCTCTTTCATTGACACATCACGAGATTCATCAACTAGAATAGAAAATTATGAATCTCCAATATTTTTGATAATAACATTGATTGTCTCAACGACACAAGCATTTATTATATCATTTTGAACATCAGGTGATGTCAATTTATAATTTTGAGGAACATTTCCAAATGTCACAGCATTAATATCTTTATTATGAGCAACCAAAAATTCTAATAGGACTAAGAAATTGTCTAGATTGAGAGAATTATTAAATTCATCATGACTCCGAAATGAGTGCCCTGTCGCAATAGAAGTCGACACAATCAATAGTGCATTAAGACGAGGAACATAAGTACTTCTTACTTGTTCTGACTGCTTGTACAAAATTGATTGAATGTATTGGTCTTGATTCATCAAAACTTCGCACTTAATGCGAGCTTGATTATGTGCACTATCATGTTCTCCAACATGAATATAAAGCTTTTTTTTGCTTCGAATGGAAAATTATACCAATCAAACACACTTAATTAACAATTCACTGGTAAACAAGTTGTAGACAATTACTTTATCTGAAATTCATTTTCTTTCCACCTATTTTTCACAATTGCAATCAAACGGACCATTAGGCCTTTTAGGAGCAATCTGATCTAATCTTGTACGAAAATTTAAGACCTGAACTTTTCAAGTCTAGATCTATTGTCTCCAACTCCCTATTTCATTGGTTGTCCTTCCAATAAAATCTAGACAAATCACCCTATCATGACACATTGGGACATCAAAAATTTTTTAATTAATCAAAATGTATCAAGTTCAACTAATAAACGACGTTAACCAAGGACTTTTCGCCTTCATTCTCTTCACTGCCAAATGACAATAATGTAAAAGAAGCATTAACCAAACCACTTCAAAATAAAGAACATGGCAAATAGTATAGCATTACTGGCAATTGTGATTTCATTGATCCTGCCTTATTAAGTAGTAGTAAAGGAAAACCAACGAATGAGCTGAAAAACTCCGGCTTGGAAGTAGGGGGCTTGCTCCGTTGCTCACTGTGCATTCAAGGACGACGCAAGACATTGGCTTCCCATGCAACAATCTATTAGGAAAATATGCCAAAAAGTATTATGATTTTACTATAATAAAATAAATATTTCGAATGTTATTGAATAAAATCGTATTATTTATTTATATAAAAGGGAGTTGCATTATATTTTGAACATGTGTATAAAGTGCCGTCGATTGATGAATAAAATACAAAATAGGGTGGTCGTAGTATATAAGATACTGTTTTGTTTGTTGATCAACAATTAATTGTCCACGGTTGTAGAATAAGATGATGACACTCTATTATGTAAAGGATATGATAGTCGTTACTCTAACAACTAGGGAGATGTGGTTTGTCTTGACCGTGTTGAGAGGATTTTGAAAGAAGTGAAACTATCAGCATGTCGGCAACGATTATTATCAGATTTTAACTCAAAAAGTTACCGTTGCAGTCAACTGGTGGGTCCCCCTCTCTGCCAAGCAGTCAAAAATGGCTGTTCAACTGGTACATAACGGCCGAAATTTTGATTTTAATTTGGTGAATAATGACTGCCAGACATGCTCTATATATGTGTTTATTATTCTTATTGTTGTTCAACATGAGATTTATTTTTGCAGCATTTGAGTACACCAATTTCGAGATCCATGTGCTTATTTGAGACTTAATCGTATCGATTTGCTCGTTTGAGTTTTATGAGCCCTAACATCATATTTTCATCTTAAAATTCAATCTTGTTAAGAAAAGTAAATCAAACCCTCATATATTCTAATCTTTATTCAATATGAGATTTATCGAGCCCCATGCAGTGACGTATCAAGAGTGATAAAGGTGGTGGGGGCCCAGTGAAAGAAAAGAAAAGATTNAGTGATAAAGGTGGTGGGGGCCCAGTGAAAGAAAAGAAAAGATTGAATGTTAATTGATTTGAAATTCTAATCGATAACCATGAAAGAAAAATCAATGCAACTAACCTTTTGGTGGACTGATAAAAAAAAAAAAAGTTGTCCGACAGTGTATATTTTGCATATCTTTCTCAAGAATATGTGCAATAAATATACGACTCCTGATGAAATCACAACTATTAAAAATATAATTTGTGAAAAAAAATGCTTTATTGTTATATAAAATATTAAAAAACGTTAGTTTATATTTTGGTAAAACCTTAGCTTCATAAATATTGGAAAAATATTATAAATTGTGAATGAACAAACCAAGCAGTGAATGGGTAAGGTATGCCTAAGGTTATTGAATTAGATTTCAAAGAATGAACAAATTGTGAATGAACCAAAGAATATTCTAGGGTATGAAAATTTGATGGATGGATTGGACTCCATCTTAAAAGATTATATGCGATACCTATGGGATTTGAATACTAAGAGAATAGCACAATCAAACTAGGTTGATTTAGTCTTATCTCAACTCTCCACAGAAGGAGTTGTCACATGACCGAAGTGCATTCCTGTGTTCGGGGTTAGATATTCACAAGAAGCTTCGACAAGGCAAGACAAGTCAAGTAATGTAAGAACCTACAACGTCGAGACCCCGTTCCATATACGTCGATGTTCAATTAAAAAATGGCTCAACGAAACGTAGATATTTAAGTTAAGGACTCCAAAACAGATTTCCAGTCGAGGACTAAAAATTCCATTAGTGAAAAATAGTTTCAACCAATTATTAAAAACATGCAAGAAACTTGTAGACAAGTGACAACATATAAAAAATGAAAAGGGTGTATTTGTCATCATCTATGACAACAAAGTCCTATTGTTTGACCCCATGTTTTTCAAAATTTATTTTTTCAAAATTCATTTTCAATACACTCTCTTATAAAATAATTTTACATATAAATTCAAAAAAATTCCCTAACTTTTAACCATGCATTCTTAAAAGAATAATGATATTTGCAGTCGCTCACTACATCAATCGTCATATGTGGCGCACACACATGTCAAGTGTGTATTTAATACATTAATGTGATAAAAAAACTACCACATTAATGTATCAAATAACTACATGTCATGTATGTGTCATATAGGACGACTGCTACAGTGAGAGACTATAAATAGCATTACTCATCTTTAAAAACTCACTATTCTAAAGCACATTTTTCCCAAAAAAATGAGTCCCAATCAATGACTAAGACTACTATTATTAAGAGAGCTACTTGGTCTCACAAAATGTATGATTAATAAATGGACAATAATCGTGAACATGTGATTGAAATTAATATTTAAATTTAAAAGCTATGTTAACGAGAAAGAAGAATTTTAAAAAAAAAAGAAGCGATTGAATTAAGAAATTAACAACCTACTCAAATAATGTCCATGCATAATCCGAACGTGGCATCATATATGTCATGATTTTAATAATAATAATAATAAAAAAAGGAAACGATCAAATGATTTTCCATACTAATAATGAAACAATCCCAAGGTCCTAGTCACGTAGTGCTATTACTATAGACGCTAACTACGAATAGTATTATTCGACAATTAACTAAATCCAACTTTTTTTTCAAAAGCACTTCGTCTCATCTCGTCTAGTCTCAACGGTCAAAAGGTCCGTTGGGATCGAGCTGTTTGCACAAACCAAGGTAAGTAAGATAAAGAACACGATCCTTAGCACCAGTACGATGATTCCTTGTATGCTTACAAAAATACTTTAGCTGTTCGAGAGTACAACACCCCAGCATTTGTCCCAGAAGCAAAAACAGCCAGTTGATGGATTTTTTCTTATTAGAAATTAGGGGTTTCACGCAGTTTTCTTGCTTACATGAACTGCACCCTGGCAAATTAGGGTTTATCCAAACCGCCGGTGCCCTATCGTGCATGCTGCCTTTGTTTTCTGCAATAAATGTCCAAACTTCGAGGAATTTTTGCTTTAAATCAAACTCCATTTGGTATTTCTTTTCGCATTTCTTGCACTGGACGTCGCCGGAGATGGTGAAGATTTGTCTAGATAGTAGGTCGCCGAGGCTGTAAACTGTGGCGCGTTGGGTTGTAGCCCAAGGAAATGGGGCTGGCACGATGGCGCTCTTCCCTCCACGGGGGGACTGCGACGGGTTGCGACGGACTCGGCCGGAGGGGCCTCGACTAGCGGCAGCAGCTTGACGATTCGTGTTCCCTACACTAGAAGCCACATGTAGTCCGATGGATGGAGGAAAATGCGACTGCGAGACTCCATCAATTGGGTGGTGATTGAACGAATGCGAGGACGGAGGAGGCGGGGATGCAGACGGAGAGTGGTGATTTCCGGTTGAAAGTTGGCTTGGCTTAGCACTAGGAAAATAACTAGACAACGAAAGTGCTAAGAAGTCATTCTTGTGTCCCTCGACATCTCTTGAGATTTGATAATCTTGACCGTTCACCTTTCTCTTTTTGAAGATTTCTTGCTCTTCATTACCCATTTCGTTCAAAAAGAAAAAATATGGAGACGACAAACTTAGGGTTTGTTAATAGAGATTATATAAGAAAGAAAACGAGTGTTCATCAATTGATAAAATTCAAAGGAATTTCAAAAAAATTGTACACTTCAGATTGTTAGAGGTTCCTTGTCCGCTTTTGGCCAGTAAATCCGCAATTTTGCAGTTTTAGATAAGTTTGTATTTTTTGGATTGAAATTCAAATTTTATGAAATGAGATAAGATGATAATTCATGTTCATTTATATAACTAATAATAGGAAAAATCGCACCCCTTGTTCCATATCTATTACTCGATGAGCAAATTGGTCTCTAATCTCGTACATATATTCCGATATAGTAGCACAACCTATCTCGTACATATATTTGCAAAGTCGTCATGAGTGAATATAAAAGTTTTGTTTTTAAACTTGGATATATGTATAGAAATTTAAAGTATACGCGTTTCATGAGATTGACGTAATAATTTAATGAAAATTTGATTGTATCGATATGAATTGAATGTGCAACTTAAAGATCAACTTGGTACATATAACAAAATTTCGACATCGATCGCTAGTTACAATTTATTTGTAGAAGTTAGAACTGAAGATAGACACCATCAGTGAAATTCTAATGTGTCCAAAATTTACAAACGATCTCTATTTTATTAGCAGAAAATTCAAAAACACTTTGGATTATAATGCTATCCTGAAAATAAAATATTTATTTTATTTAGTCTCGTAAATGCATAAACACACTCGATTCTAACATTTACAACAATGAGTTTTCGAAAATTCTTGATAAAACTTGTAGCAAGCAAGCATAGTACTCGTAAAGAAAATAGGTTTTATTTTTTTCTCAAGAGAATTGAAACGAGGATTTTTTTCATTTTTTTTTCTCGAACGTTTTATGGAAAATAATTCGACCAGTAGGGGAAAAAAAAACTTAATTCTACTAAAATTTCGACACGTCAAATTATAGTGATGAGTCAAAATTTAACTGGAAGACAGCCAATGATGCAGCTGGATGAGTCACGGTTACATTATAGGATTAATATTCATATATCTATGTTAATTCATGTGATTAAAACATGGCAAATAATTTAGAGTTTTTTAGATATTGTATAAAGATTGGTGTTAGTTGATAAAAGATATTCGAAAGAAACAGAATAATTTAGAGTTTTCGAAATGCACAATCCAGTTTTTTTTTTGGAGGGGGGGGGGGGGGGGGGGGGGGG